GCTCTTAAAAGCAACCAAGCAGCTTCCTTAATGCTTTGCTGCTTAGAAATTTCTTTGGCCAAATGCTCTGGTTCACAACTCTTAAGTTCCAACTTCCACAAAGTCAAAGGGCATGGACACAATGCAGCCAGATTTCTTGCTACGGCATAGCAAGGGTGATCTTTTGTCCAATTCCCAATAAGTTACTCATTTCTATCCGAGACCTCATCATCTGCATGGCCTTTACTGTCCACATTTCTATCAGCATTCTGCTTGCCACCACATAAGTCTCTAAGGCATTCCAAACTTTCCCTTGTCTTTCTGTCGTCTTCTGAGTCCTCCAAACTCTTCCAACCTTTGCCCGTTACCCAGCTCCAAAGATGCATCCACATTTTCAGGTATCTGTATAACAACACCCCACTCCTCTGTACCAATTTTCTCTTTTAGTCCGTTTTGTGTTGCTATAACAGAAATACCTGAGACTGGGTACTTTATAAAGGAAAGAGGTTTATTTGGCTTACGATTCTGGGACAGCTGCATCTGGCATGGGCCTCAGGGTGTTTCTACTCATGGCAGAAAGTGGCAGGCAGCCAGCAGGTACAAGCAGATCACATGGCAAGAGGAAGCAAGAGCTCTTATACCATTTTTTACAAGAGCATATAAACCTTTGTATTGTAATTATTTGAATACAATTTTACTCTCTTGAGGAGCAAGACTTATTATTTTCCTGTTACTGAGGATGAACAGTGGCTAACGTAATAAACACTTAATAATTTTTTTCTTTGAACTGAATGTCAGAATGAGAAAGTATATAAGAAGAGGTAGTTAAGTTTTAAGTTGTGTTAATAAAATTCAATGTCCATATCCAGGGAGGCAGTGAGCCCGCTGATACCTTCACTGGTCAGATCACATCAGCAGTATTGTGTCTATTTCTGGGATACCACACTTTAAAAGATGGCATTGAAAAGCTAATAAAGTGCAAGAGGGATAGTAATTTCTGTCATATGAAGATTGATTGAGAACTGGAAAGTTTAGCTAAGGGAAACAACCTTAAGTGCTGTCTTCAAATATTTAACGGGCCAGAATATTGAAGAATTGGAATAACATTTTAAACTGGAAACTTCTGGGAAGAGTACAGGTAGAAGAACCATATTTTAATATTCGTGGTTTTAAAAAGTAGGAATATATATATGTATATGACATTTTGAAAAATAACAATTAAAAATTTTAAGTAATTTTCTCTGTTGCCTTTTTTATTTTCCATGCAGTGCCTTCATTTCTTTATTATGTCAAAATTTACTATTATTATATTGTTTCATTGGCTTACGATGGTTTTAATCAGAATTTTGATTGAACTTGCTTATCTAGAGAGATTTCATTTGCTATAGAAATCAGTTAATTTTTATGTCTGTTAAATTTTGAAATAAAGTAACTATGAAAAAAAAAGTTTTTAAATTAAAAACCCCCAATTTTTTCAGCTCCAAAGACATTTTTGTTTAAAACTGTAGTGATTTGGGACAAATATGTGGGGATATTTTTAGTTCCTGAACGGTTTTTATTTATTTATTTATTTTTTTTGGTATTACAAAATTGATAAATTAAGGCTCAGAGATTCCCATTTTGCTTAATTACCTGAAACACTTGTAACTTATTTTATAAACCCTTTTTGCCTTTCCAATATAGGAAAAATAAATATAAAGCAGATTAGACTTAAAGGGTATTATTCAGAGGTATTTAAACACTTAATATTTGGTTATGTATATAGGAGCCACCACAAAATCCCTCTGAAATGGCTAAATTGTAAAAATTGAATAGAAAGCTTCCAAGTATTTATATTTATTGAAAGAATGTGCTTTTGGATGTGCTGTGTGAGAATTAAGGTGACCTACCTTAGTGTACTTTGTACCTGACATGAATGTATGTTATGCATGAAGTGGGTGGTTTGGGGGCTAAAGAATAACCAACTCATCTAAAAAAGTTTTTCCTTAGTATCTTTCATTCATACATTTTTTCTCCTTTCTATTCCATGTTTATTTTTCCACATGTAAATATTTTTATTGGAACAGGGATACTAATTGTAGAGTTTTTGCTTTAGTGCTTTGAGAGGATCTTGACATTTACTGATTGTCTGCTTTATGCTAGGTGTTATACATGGGTCCTAACTTCTATGATCTTATTTAATATATGAGAAGAGGTTATATAAAGGCTAATGCTAATTTAAAAACGGTTATTAATATTATATTTAAATTTATCTTCATCTAGTATGCTCTAACATTAGGACAGTTAAGATACAGTTCGTATTATGACAAGCATCTTTTCTTGCAATAAGGAAAATAAGTTAATTTATCTCAATTTCATGAACATTAAACACATAGATCAATGTGATATAGTCAGTTGGTACAAACTGAAAAATATATACCATATGTGATTTAGTCACTTGGTAAAAGTCTTAATTGCATAATGTTATTAGAAATAATGAAAAAACTGTTTACTTTGTTTTTACTTTTATTTGAAAAATAATAAAATATTATAATTTTGAATTAATGTTTTAGAAATTTTTTACTATAGTAATCTCAGCATACTGTGAAAAACAAAAAGACTTTATATTAACGTTTCTTCATTTTCCTAAACCTAGGATGGTAAGCGGATGTTTGGCACCTATTTTCGTGTTGGTTTTTATGGAACCAAATTCGGGGATTTGGATGAACAGGAATTTGTTTACAAGGAGCCTGCAATAACCAAACTTGCAGAGATATCTCACAGATTGGAGGTGAATACTGTGGTGGTTCATCAAATGTCCTCTTTAATTTGTATTCTCTGTGATGAATAGACTTTCAGATTCAGATTTAATTATTTAATAAGCCAAATCCTGCCAAATAAATTACTCACATAGAGCATAAGGATTTTTGACAGTTACAATAATACTCTTTCAAATCCTTCAAATCTTTTATGGCAACAGTAGAATAATATTAACTTTTTTTTTGAGGTTCTATTTTCACAAATATTTTAGAAACCCTTATATCTTTCAAGATTATTTTGATTTATGGAGAAATGTATAGTACTCACATTATCCACATATTGTAAAAAGAGACATATGGCATTAAGTAGCAGCTAATAATGGAACTAGAACCAGAACCCCAAGAAATTTCTGACCCAAGTGCATTATCTCTGTGGCTTAGCCTGGCTCCAAGTGAGATATTTTTAGAGCTTAAAAGCCTGAAATCGCACCTTAAAACTACTTAGAATTCTTTAGTTTTTACACCTTCTTAATTTTCACCATAAATGATTGATTTTCATATTCGTTGGGCTAATCAGTCTTTTCTGTTAATAGTTATTCTTTCCGACCTTTCCCTATTCTTGTCAAAATGTGGTTCATGAACCAGAAACATTGGCATCACCTGGGAGATTGTTTGAACTGCAGAATCTCAGACCCCATCCCAGACTTTCTGAATCAAAATCTTCATTTTAACAAGTCCATAGGTGATTTGTATCATACAAACAGTTTGAGAAGCAGTGCTCTAGGCTTGTTTTTATTCTCAGCTGTTGTTAATTTCTTGAATGTTATGTTCTTATTTGTGACTTCACCATGCTTACCTTTCATAAATTGGCTCAAACTGTGACTTTTTATTTTTCAAGAGGAGGCTAGGTAAGTCTTGGGAAGTATTAATTGAAACAGTGTTTTCCAGTCTTACTTAATCATAAAAATACCTTTGGTATGAGGGTGGGGGTTTCTCCTTTAAAGACTCAGATTGAATTTTTCCTTTTGAGTAGCTCCATCCATTGCCCATGCTGCTACCAAGTGTCATATGGAAAAATCTCTATGTTCTTGACCCAAGGTTGCCTTTTCAAAGTCTAAAACTGTACAAAACTTCAACAAGTCAATGCTTTTATTTGGAAATTCTGGAATGTTTCTTTAAATTATTCATAGAAATGAATACTGGGCTGATGGTTAGCTTACTTGGGAGAGCATGGTGCCGGTAACACCAAGGTCAAGGGTTTGGATCATCATACCTATCAGCTGCTATTAAATTATTCATAGAAATGAATACTGGGCTGATGGTTAGCTTACTTGGGAGAGCATGGTGCTGGTAACACCAAGGTCAAGGGTTTGGATCATCATACCTATCAGCTGCTAAAAAAAAAAATAATACTTTTTCATTGACCCATGGTCTGTAAGAAGTCAGGCCACATCAAACTCAATAAAACTAATCCTATACATCATAGATAATGAGGTCCTTTTGTCTTTGCTTTTTGTTCCCTTTTTGTTTCTTTTGAGGACCTGTTGTGGAATCCTATATTTTTATAGGAGAAAAATGTTGTTTTCTCATATTATGTGTTATTGAAGTATATAGATGGGAATAATGTCAAATAAATATGGACTAAGACCATGCAAACGTATAAACTAGTATCATTTTTGTGAGCCTTAAGTAATTGTTATTTTGTAATTATTGACGTGTTTGTACAGATGTTAATAAATCCCTTAATTTTGCTCAGGAGTCTCCCTTGAAAGTCTTCTCTGTTTTCTTATCTTGTTAACTTCAAGTAAAGATTTCTTTTTTTTTTAATTATAGGGATTTTATGGAGAAAGATTTGGAGAGGATGTGGTTGAAGTAATCAAGGACTCTAATCCTGTAGACAAGTGTAAATTAGATCCTAACAAGGTATGGTTGATTAGACTGTAATAACATATAGGCCTATCTTTGAGATATGCAGTTTTGTCTGAGAAAGACTAAATAATGATATAATAGTGAGGAAATGAAGAACTTTTTCCTTTGCCAGGCATATATTCAGATTACCTACGTGGAGCCATACTTTGACACATATGAGATGAAGGACAGAATCACTTATTTTGACAAAAATTATAATCTTCGCCGTTTCATGTACTGTACACCCTTCACTTTAGATGGTCGTGCCCATGGGGAACTTCATGAACAATTCAAAAGAAAGACCATTCTGACTACATCTCATGCCTTTCCTTATATTAAAACAAGGGTCAATGTCACTCACAAAGAGGAGGTAAGTCCGTAAATGGGGAAGTAGACTTGGTGAAACAAATACATTTGAACCATGTAACAGCAGTGCGGATGTAGCACAAGATGTGTACCATCCCTCACACAGTAACTTGCTAGATCTTTACCGATTTTTGAGTCATTAATTTTTGGCCTCTGCTTTAAAGATTTTACTAAAAGGTATTCAAGGCTTCCTGCATAAAGATCTTCAAACTAAGAATATCCAATACCACAGTATTACATAAGGCCCTTAAGGAACTATTGAAAAGAGAAAATGTAGGGAAGTGGTTCAATATTGAGAAATAATCTGTATAGAATTTACTATTCTTTGGTAATGTATACTTATACCACTACCCCCTAACATACTCTATTATGCTATTTTAAATTTTAAAGATTGGAAAAGCCAAGGCTCAGGAAATTTTTTTAACTTGAAGCTATTATTAGACTATTTAACTTGAGAGTTATTATTTATTGTGAACCTTCAATATGTGTTATCTGCTTCCTTTCCCTTAGGAAATATATAAGTGGTAAATTTGAAAGCAAAAAGTTTGTGCAAATCCTAACCTTATAAGTGTCTGTCCTTTTCCAGGTCACTTAATCTCTATGATCCTGAGTTTTATAATGTAGGGATAGTAATATCTACCTCCTATAGGGAGATTGTTCAAATTAGGTGAAATAGTATATGGGTGTGTTGGTGATCCCCAAGACCACCCCCAGTTTCAGTGGTTCACTAGGAGGACTCACAGACTCAGCAGAGTCCCACTAATGACTGTGATTTATTGCATTGAAAAGATACAAAGTAAAGTCAGCAGAGGGAAAAGGTGCATGTGGTGAAGTTTGGAGGAAACCAGTTACAGGTTCAAAGGGTCCCCTGCCAATAGAGTCACACAGGATATGCTTAATTCCTCCAGCAATGACTTGTGACAGCATGTGTGAAATGTTGTCTACCAGGGATCCTCATTAGAAACTCAGTGCCAAAGGTTTTTATTGAGTGCTGGTCACATAGGCACCCTTTTCCTCATGCATACCAAAATTCCATTCTCCCTTAGAAGGAAAGCAAGAATTCAGCATGAATCAGCATGTTTGTATAAACAGTTTAGGTATAGCAAGCCACTCTTATCTTCTGGGAATGATGGGAAAACTCTGAAAATTCAAATTCCCAGATGCAAACCAAAGGCCAACCTTGCAATCAGACTTTTCTAAGGATAGCAGTCTCAGGCATGCTATCTTTTTTTCCCCCACGAACAGTAAGTTGTGTGTATCAGACGTTTTCTGACGAATCAGTGCAACAGTGAAAAAAATTTAGTACATAACCCATTCCTAGAAATCTGAAACCACCCAACCCCTGGAAATTTATTGCAGATGTCTTTCACTTCAGGGTGCAGTCTTCAGGCTCTATCTCTTCTCTGACCTTTTCTCTCAAGTCTTCTGAACCTTAAATTCCTGGGAGCTAAGTTAACTCCACATAAAGAGTTAACTCTCTGCTTTTTAAAAAGTTATTATTATTCTTTTTTTTAATAGCAGTTTTAATTTTACAGAGAAATTGAGCAGAAAGTACAGAGTTCCCATCCCCTCCCTCCACTCACATACACAGTTACTGACATGTTACATTAGTGTGCTTCATTTGTGACAATTATGAATCAATACTGATGTATTTTTGTTAACTTTATATTAGGGTTCCCTTTTTGTATTGTACAGTTCTACGGGTTTTGCCTCATGCGTAATATCGTGTGTTAAACCATTACAGTATCACACAGAATAGTTTTGTTGCCCTAAAAATCATCTGTGTTCCACCTG